ATTTAAAGAAATCCTTAATATTAATTTTTACATTTTCAGCTAACTTTTTCTCATACATCCTTTTTGATGTCCTAATTTTCTGTGTCACCAACTTTCTTGATCTTGTATAATCTTCTAAGTTTTCTGTCATACCAGTCAATTTAAATTTCCTAAATTTTTTGATGTCTTTAATTTTATCTCGTACCCTTTGTGAGCCAACCTGGTTTTTTAATTGTAGCTACCCTTTTCTTTCTATTAGGAATATGTTAATATCCTTTCTTAGCTAAAGACAACAAAATTGCACAGTATTCCAAGTGAGGCTTAACTAGTGATTTGATTAGAGATAATTACTCTTTTGACTTGCAATTATTGTACTTGTAAATACACCCTAATGTTCTATTAGCTTTACTACTAGTAACAAAGCATTGCTTTGATGATTTGAGTGACTTATCCATTGTTAACCAAGATAATGTTTTTCAGTCACATTATTGAGTGGGCTCCCATCAATATGAATTACTTTTGTATTTTCAGTGTGGTGGAATTCGAATGTTAGAGTACCATTCCATGGAAAATTATTTACAGGAAGGCTTACGGTTGTCTACTCGATTAGGCATCAAGTCAGCTCTGGCTGGGTTATGGTGAGGGGAAATTTCTGTTATCTTTTTCATAAAAAAGTGTTTTGAAATGTTGTTACAGTTAGATGAATTGTTTGATAAAAATGCATGTTCAATTATCCAGGTCTGTATTTAGATACTAGAATGTGTGTATGAGATTTTCAAAGAGTTTTAGCACAAGTACAATAAGATATCTTACCGTTTTAATTAATGTAATTAATTGTTCATATCTTGATATAGAGGATATTCTGCTAGTTTTACCTTGAGGCTCATAACAAAAGGCTGTAATGTTAAGTTATGAAAATTCATATGTTTTATATTTTATGATCTTATGTTAATGTCACTCATGATGTTATTTATCAAAAGGCTGTAATGTCAGGATGTGACAGAATCTTCAGTGTGAGTTGATGTCACTTCTGATATACAAAAAAGGCTGTAATGTAAGATTATGAAAATATTTACATACCATGTTTTCAATTTTATGACATCTTATGGCATGTTTATCACAGGATTTCCAACATAAGTTGATGTCACTTGTGATGTATTTATCAAAAGACTAATGTCATGGTGTAACAGAATCTTCAGTGTGAGTTGATGTCACTTCTGGTATACAAAAAAGGCTGTAATGTAAGATTATGAAAATATTTACATACCATGTTTTCAATTTTTCGTTGATCCTTTGGGGTATCGTGAGAATCATCTCGTCAATTTTAGATTGTGGGATTTTTGCCCACTCTTGCTTCAAAATTTGGAGTAGATAGCTCTTCGAAGTTGGTTCTTTTGGTTGTTTCTTGACTTGCCAGTCGAGTATGGCCCAGAGGTTTTCGATGGGGTTCATGTCAGGAGATTGGCTCGGCCAGGGCAACTTCTGGATACCATTTTCTTCCTGCCACTTTTGGGTGTTTCTAGCAGTGTGACACGGTGCTCTATCTTCCTGGAACAACGTTGTGTTCTTGTCTACGAAACCCGAGGAATAAAGTGGCAAGAGTCCTTCCTCCAATAATTGGACATATTTTGCAAAATTTATGTTGCCAACGCACTCCACTATGCTCGATCTCCCACCAACCCAAACCATCATGCTGAAACCACCATGCTTCACAGTTGGCTGCAATCTGTTGGGCCAAAACTCTTGGTGAGGCATTCTCCAGACCCATATCCTTCCACTGTCCAAAAATTGAGGGAATCTTGATTCATCTGAGAACAGTACAGTCTTCCAAAAGTTCAGAGGCTTAGTCATCATATCACTTGCCCACTTCTTTCGTCTCACTATGTTGGCAGGTCTTAATAAGGGTTTCCGTCTAGCTGCGCTGTAACGATAACCCAATCTGTGGAGAATCCATTGAACAGATTTCGGGCTCATCCCACCAACTTTGGC